TAAATTTGTTTTTATCGTTAACTCTGTTTCCCTGGGTCTTTTCCTATGTGTTATGAATAAATCATATTTTTTTGGGTACCGGTACCGGTTTTATTTTGTTGTATTTATCAACTTCTGGAGTCTTACAGCAGATTTTTTTCAGTATAAAACAATTGGCATTGGATGGAGCAGCTACAAAGATTGCTTTTCTTCACGTCAGACTTTGCTCTGGGATTCCCTCTAGTTTTTTCCCCCAGTTTATACTAGAGCTGGGCGATAGAACGATAACGATATGTATCGCGATATAACTTTTACTCGATAGAGAAATTAAGCTATCGCGATAGACCTCGCCGCTCTTGTCCTCAAAAAAAAAAAAAAAAAAAGGTCAGCCAATCCAAATTAAGTAGCGCAGAGCCGAACCAATCACAGCCGCAGCGTCACGTCGCGTGACTTGTTACGTACAGCACAAGTGCCAAGCCGCACGTGTGTTTGTTTGGGAAGCAGCCAGCGGGTAATGGAGCCAGCGCGTAATGGAGGAAATGAGTGTGCCGACTAGAAAAATCAACCGAGCGTGACCGAAGAGAAAACAGATGATGGTTCCAACGCCGGAGAGATTGTCAAACGGAAGAGCCATAGAAGTTCCGTAGTGTGAAGGTATTTCGGCTATTTCAAGTCTGACAAAAAAAGAGTAGCGTGCACTGTAAATTGTGCCGAAAGCAAGTCTGGAAATACAATAAACTGGTGCATGCGTCACACTGTGCGCCACGTTATTGTTTCGGTGAAATGAATTTCTACAATACTGTTACTGTTAATTCTACTCTCTGCAGTGTTTAAATGCTTACATATACACACAGTTACTGTCCGTCCACACATACGACTCGGTTCTGCTTCTATGCCCCAGCTTTGTTTACTTTTTCCCACCGAGGCTTCTAGACTTCTGATTGGCCAACATTTCTGCACGGTTAGGAATCTAGCGCCACCTGCTGCTTTGGCATGTTCATAGCAGCGTTTTCCTTCATTTCTGCCTTTATGTGTGGACGGGATTATTTTTTAAAACGAAAACGGAAAATCTCCGTTTTCAAAAATACCCGTGTACGTGTGGACGTAGCCTCAGTCTCTGACTGGAAGCGCTAATTCGTCATTCGGCTTTTGTCAGACTAAAGTAACTGTTAAAACTGTTTGAAAAGCTCAGCTATACAACAAGGAGAGATTGAGAATTTCCTTTTAGTTCTCAGTTTATTTGATATTGACAAAAGTTAGTCAGTTTTGTCTGTTCTTCTGTAAAACAAACTAAGATTTATTTTTAGAATTAATATTTTGTTTCTAAGTGGAATTGACAGTTTAGTCTGTTTCGTTTGTTCTATTTTGAAACTTAAACGCTTTAGCGGCTGCCTTTTGTGTAGTTTGCAATATTTGCCTTTATTTATCTGAAAAAGTCTCATGTTCCTTAAGTACATCTACCCTGTTGAACTTATTATGGGAAATAAATATTTAAATAAAAACAAGCTGCTGATTATTTCACATTTTACTTGTGAGCAACGGCACATTTAAATCTTACAAATATAGTTATTTGGCTTATATCGTGATAGATATCGTTATCGCCTGAAATGAAAAAAACATATCGTGATATGAAAAAATCTCATATCGCCCAGCTCTAGCTTATACTGCAGGTATGTTTTTAGTTGTAAAGGTGGGTTTCCATGGTGACAATGGCACGCTGCAGAGCTGTGCTTTAAACAAAGCATCAAAGCAAAGCAAAAAAATGTATAAATCGTTTTTGTTTTTTTTAACTCAGGGGCAGCACTAGAGTGAACCCCTTGACTAACTGAATTTTAGTGTCCTTACTTTTCTCTCAGTTTTTGATTCTGTCACTGGTTAGCTGACACGTGATAAAACTGATTAGGTTCATCAAATATCTGCAAAAGCATTTCTATTCATCACCATCAGCAGCCTGACTTCACAGACACTTCCTGACGTAACCACTGTACTCAGGACAAGGCGAACACACTGAAGACCACCACCACAATGAGCCCGAGGATACTCCGCGTAGAGTCCCCATCCCCGCTCTCTCACGCTCTCAAAACGACAAGCACACCTCTGTAGACTCCACCCGGTGCACAAGCTCACAAACGGCCACTGGACAGGCTCCAAGGGAGACTGCTGGTAATTTATGCTGCATTGTCTTCAGCGTGCAACTGAGACAGAAAACGACGTGCGCCCTTCTGCAGGCGGGCGTTCCGTTCTGCACGTACACAGGAGAAATCCATCGCGGGATTAACTGACAACTCCTTTCTTTTACCAGGTGCAATCGTACCAAATGTGCTGCAGCTGCTCCTAAAATCCAGCCGAACGGAAATTTGCTGGCCTTAGGGCTGTTACCGAGAGACAGGCGACCAAATTACGCTCACGTGCACGAGCATGTAGCCAAACATACAAGGGTAAAGAACTGATGCTAGGCACCCATATCCGCCAGACGCGCTAAGTGTATCAATGCAATGGAAGCCACCGTAAATAAAACAAGTCATTTTATTATTGCTGGTAATAAGTCATTTTACCTGAACGACTCTTAACACCAACATTGCGAAAGGTAATTACCTCATGCAGACACAGCTTTAAGCTAACGTTTGCTTCAGATGCTCAACATTTAAGCTGAAGTTTACGAGCCTGTGTGTATTCACCAACTTGTGACTACTAGACACGCTTCTATTCTGGACATAGACAAAACAACAACAACTAGCGAGTGCTTCCAAGAACTACTCAGTTTTGAAAGCAGGGCTTTCTCTGGAATATCAGTATGTGTGTAGCGTTGTTATCAATGCTAGCTGATTAGCTTGTTTGCTTAAGCGTAAAGAAAAGCTACTCACCCCACAAAACTCTTGACAATACTTCGAAGATGATTCTTCTGGAGAGTCGATGCTTTCTCTACTCAAGATTTCTTGCAATTCTTGCAAACGTTTTTTAAGTTCCTCAGTCGTTTCACTGATACCAATGGCAGGACTACGATCCTGTTCGGCCTCCTCGTCCGCCATCTTCACACCCAGCTTCTGCGCGTAACCACTGCTACGTAATCACGTAAGTACACATTTTACGAGTTCACGTCATCCCCCCCGTCGTGCGGACAGCACGTACAGAGAATTTCAGCTTTGTTGTTGTGATGGCAGCTTGTCATGTGAGTTCCTGCTACTTAGCGAAAATTAGTTTGCGAGAGTAGGTTCAAATAAAACACCCTCAAAATCTCTGATTTTGTCAAGCCAGACTCACTGTGGATTTCGTTTCTTCTTTTTCTTTTGGCTGCTTCATTAAGAGGTTAAACCAGTACATCATATGCCTCCATCTCATCCTATCCCTAATATCATCTTCTGTCGCTCTGATCTTCCTGCATTAAATCCATGAATCTTCTCGGAAGTTCCTCGTTTCTTCCTTCCATCTTCAACATCCTTTGTCCAATACTTATACATGAGTTGGCTGCAGTTCAGGAAGTAGAGCAGGTCAGCTACTAATCAAATGGTCAGTGGTTCAATTCCTGGCTGCTCCAGTCTGCATATCCTTGGGCATGATACCTAACCACAGGTTGCTCTCCAAACACTTGTGTAGAAAAAGCATTAAAAACGTCCTTAGGTAGAGTAGATTAACCAGTTCATTTACCATATCCCTCCTCTGTGTAGAAGATTTCAAATGGAAGACTGCATTGTGATGACAGACAGAGACTGGTTGGAAAACTGGATTTATTTTCTAAAAGACAGAATGCAGCAGAAAAATCAGTGACACACAGCAACAACAGGCCTCTCCTCATCCCAGTGTGGAGTCCATGCAGCTCTGGCTGAGAACCCCCACACATGCAAAAGGTTTACTAGCGGTGTCTCACTGATCAGTGCCCCACTACAACAGTGACATGTTGGGAAAACTAATTTCAGCAACCAACTTGCTGTGGACAGTGGTGCTTAGGTTCCTGCAGTTTTTAGTTCATAGCAGACTTGAGCCTTGGAGGTTTCTGCCTTATTCCTGAACATCCTAACTAATTTCCTCTCATCTAACAGTTGGGGTATTCTTCCATACCTTGGCAACACGGTAACACATCAGAATAACTTGTACTTATGTGCAGTTGTTTGAACAGAAGATCTTGGAATCTTCAGTTGTTTCGGAATGGATCCAGCAACCAAGCTTCCGAACTTGTGCCAATCTACTCTTCACATTGTTGAGAGGGATTTTTGCAGTAGAGTGGACAATAAAGCAGGGGCAAAGAGTAATGTAATACACATAGCAAGGGCCTCAGGTCAGACCCAAACCCAGGCTGCTGGGTCACTTGGTCAGCCCATGAGCCAAATTAGCAACTGACAAATCAAATTCCTAGATCTTCGTTGAGTTCCTTGGACTTTGCTGTTAATCTGAGTATTGGTTAGTCCAACTAATGTGGTCAGTTAAATCCTTTTAATGCTAACAAGAGCATCAGCTAATTTTAGACAATCATGATCACTAACTAGAAGTTATTAGGCGTTGAGCTTGTCATGTATGTATACATATATTTATGTATGTATCCATGCTATATGTATGATTTCGACCCTGTGTGGATTACAGAAGATCCAAAATAATTCCATTCATTCCAACCTGAAAAAAGAACAGTTTAAAGATATAATTTAAAGCCCCAAATTTCCATGACATTTATGCCCGTCATGGGTGAATGTAAACATCTGCCCACAACTGTATGTGTAGCTTGGTGTACACAGGCAAGTCATCTTGACATATTGCTCTTTATTTGCAAAACAGGATATCAGTCCTTTTCAACTTTCCCTTAAGATTTCTTTTTGAAAGATGAATTTGGTTTTGATTCTCCTATTTTATTTAGATATAGAAAACATCATTAAATCACCCAAACACAACATTGAATCCATTTATTTAAAAAAACAACAACAAATGAGTACATTTAATGATCATGTAAATTACATTATTTTGATATTGAACCCCAAAACAACTCCCTGATTGTGAGGGATTTAAAAGTATAGTTGTTTTAACAAAACACATATAATACATGTATCTTTAAAACTATTTGAGGTTTATCACTCAGGGTTCAGTATAGAGTAGAAAAATGCTTTAATCCTTAATTACATGTATTACTGCAGTCTTTAAAAAAAAAAAAGTCTAACTGGAAAAGAGAAAAAAAAAACCCAGTCCCTGCTAATATACAACTTCTTTCATTATTCTCTTCCCGACTCATATTTTACTTTAGAAACCCTGGCCATTCACAGCTGGACTTTAGGGTGTCATCATCTCCTGTCATCGGAAGGCTTCCTAGCCTGCAAGAGAACAAGAAATAATGGGGGGGAAATTTAGTGCATGAGTAGATCATGTTGGGTTTGCTTGCTGGGGAGTTTACATAACTGGAGTAGGGCAGGAGGGTTAATCCAATGTGGATTAAGCTAGGTGTCTTTCCTAGAGGCAGGTTGGTACCATATATCTGAGCACAGGAGCTGTAGGTATGAATTAGACTTAAACTGTTTGAAAAAGATTATACTGCATGTGTCCAGAGTGACTAAATCCTCCATGTTAATCTATTCAGAAGTAAAACTCTACAAGCACAGTTCTGGATAAAGAAGGCTAAGACAAAGCAAATGCTGTAATGTATTTAAGTACATTTACTCAGTTTACGTTATCAAAAATTACAATTTAAATGAAGTTGTTTGATGTAATCCCTTTTTCTAGTTCTCAACTACATCTTGGGGTAGTACTCCTAGTTAGTTGCATGTGTGAATTATTACTATGGAAATCACTTGTTAACCAATAAATGATATATTCTTGATATATTCTGTTATATTCTTATAGATATATATATATATCTATATAAAAAAAATGCTTAATGAGCACTACAGGAATGCTAAAAGTTAGATTATGTGCACGATGACAATATTTTAAATATCATTTGGCTGGTGCTCCTTAACAAAACTACTATCTTGTCAGATATCAAATTCTGATGATTTTTCAAAGATGAATCAGTCATTTTCCCTGAAATTAATTAGACTAGTGGGGCATTAATTAGACTGTATCAGGATAAAAATGTAACTTTTCAGTTCCTTGAAGTTGTATTAATTTAGGGGGGGGGGGGGTTCATAGACTTAGAAGACTTGATTCTTTTTGATATATCCTGCAGTTAATTTGTCATGCGAGGGGGACTACAAGATGGGGACTAAAACTATTGTTCCAGCTTTTAAGTGATAATACACTCCACATCTCTCATAAACAATAAAAAATTTGTTAAGACCTCAGTCACATGGGCCTATACTGGATGGAGATGCCCTAGCATCCACTGGTTGTGAGGGCGAAAATGTTTCTTCCCCTACTGGTTGGCAAGTGGTTGCTGGCTGTTGCTGGTGAGATAGCTTACAAAATTGCTAGCAGATTTGGGCAATTCCCCACTGTTTATATTGAAGATAAAATTTGTCTGCAAACACTCACCGTTTACTCTTGAAATGAAGGACTTTGTTTCTTTACGACTGCAACCAACACCTCTCTGCTCTTGCTTTTGACGAAGGCGGTTGCACTTTTTTCCTCTCCTCCTCCTCTCCCTTAGCTTCGCTGCTTAGCCTCTTATGTCCTTGTCTAGTCTCGTGTTTTTTGTATTACTTTTCCCTGGAACATTCTGTCACAGTCTGTTCTCTAAAACCTAAAAGAGGAATTATGGATTTGATCAACTGGTCCCTAAATGCAATTGACAACCCTTTCTCAACAAGAAGTTTGGGCTTGGGTGAGCCTGAGTGCTGAAGATATCTACCTATTCGGAACCATGGTAACAGGGTTCTTGCTAAAAGGAGCTGGCTTGGCCCTGACTTATCGAAGAATTAAGGAAGCAGAACCGGCTGTTCAAACCCCCACAAGGCTGCCCGCTGGGATTGAAACGATGGGAAGAGGCGTGAGTTTCTCAAAATGGGCTCATTGAGCGCAGCACGGACAAGATCTTGGAAAGGCTACGGCTGCTGTGAATACTCAGAATAAGATCTCTGAGTGCAAACTGGATTACATCTTGGAAGGGCTTGCTCGGAATAACATCTCTGAGCGCAAATTGGATTACATCTTGGGGAGGCTCACTGTGGTCGTGAGTTCTCAGAATCGACTCTTTGAGCACAAGAATGACAACATCACAGAGCGCAAGTTTGATAACATCATGGAGAAGCTCACGGCTCTCCAACGGGAGATTGAGAGACCAGTGTTGGACTGTTAGAACAGCTTTGAAATTCATCTGAGCTGTTAGCACTAAAGTAAAAAGTTAAAAGCACCATCACTTCATGTGGATACCTTTTCGGCGCCAGCTGCGGTCGCAAGGCTGGAGCCGAACAAAAACACCCTGATAACGACTGTGTTTAGTCTGTTCCAATGTCTCAGCTGAACTCTGGACACGCACGCACACACATACATATACACATGCACACACTCATCCCCCCTCCCTTTCCAAACGCCTTCGATGCTTGTTCCCTTCTGGGAATTCAGTGCAGGGCAACCTGCACGTGGCGAATAAAGCCTTGATTGATTGATTGATTGATTGATTGATTGATTGATTGATTGATTGATTGAAAAGGCGTAATTTTTACTTTGAAGGTTCTCTGCTTCTGCTTTGTGTAGCACTTTTCAAAGTTTTATTAGGTCTTTGCAAGTAGTTTGTGTGTTTGCAGACAAGTTTATGTCTTCCATGCAAACTATAGGCAACCCCAGAAACCTGCTAGAAATCAAAACACTCGCATGTAGGTTTTCAGTGCAGTACTGCATACCTCTTTGCAACCAGTTTTAATCGCCAGTGACTGCCAGTAACCTGGCAGCAACCATTCACCAACCAGCTGTGGAATATACACTTTTCCTTAGTGGCCACATGATTGCTCACTGTTCTCTAGGCAAATGTGTGACTGGTGCCTAAATAAGAGTGCATAGCAAAGTGTTCATAGCAGTATTATTTTCAACTAAGAAACTCATAGAGTAACCAGTTGCACCACCAACTGTGTAGACAATTGGTGCATAATTGCTAAGAATATGGGGAATTTGCCTGCTTTCACTATTGCTTCTCTTTCAACATGCAGTGGCTTTGCAGTTCCCCTTTCATGGCAACCGAGTATGGTACTGCTGGAGTATGCTGGTTTCCAGAAATTGTGAGACATCAAGACTCAAGAGTATGACACAAAGACAGAAAAATCAGTTGCATATCAGATCTGGAAATTCAGATTACCAGATATGCTGATATCATTCAGAGAAAAGTAAGACAGCTGTTTGAGTCAAAAACCATCTGGGTAGATTCAAAGCAAACAGTCACCAAATGTCAAACTAATCTGTTTGTTTTCAATATATGCTATTAAAAAAGTCAAGGGAAGACTTTTAACAACAAATGTTAACTTTATTTTTGATTTGATTTTGAACCCAGGTCTCAAAGGGGTGATGATTTTGGTTTCAATTAACCGCTGTAACATTATTTTGTTCTCAGCAAATTACAGTGTATGCCAGTCAAGATTTTCAGTTTGAATGTTTCATTCATTAGGCTATGATGTGTAATTTAAGTGTTGAGTAGTTTACATTTTTTAATATGATCACAAAATTGATTCAGAAGTGACAAAGATTTGGTGAGCTACTTTTAAACAATTTGAAATGCACATTTTTTAAAATATGTAATCACATATTTCATCTTTTGTAATATTTACCTGTATTTTGTGGCAATAGGTTACTCCCTTTCTCCTGCATAGAGGCCAAACTGGCATCCTTTAGAAACTCTGAATGAAGAGTCCCACTAGGCCTATGGTCTGATTGGGTGCGACGAGTAGAGGTGTCTGTTGCTCTGGTCAGTAGTCTTCCTCGGGAGACCTCTCCCCCTTGTCTGGGAAGCGCAGACCTTTCAGGGGGCAAACAGGTCTTCAAGTTTTGAAACTCATTTTGACAGAAAACAGAGCGTGCGTCGCGAAAGGATACAGATGGAATGATTTCTTCTGTCTTGTTATCTATACAGCGTGTCACTGTTCTGGGAGAACTAGGACGAGAGGAGTGCCTAGATGTAGACTGAGGTCTAATTACAGGGGGACTTGGAAATCTTTTGCATGTACTAGGACAAGATGGTGGAAGGCGGACTCTAGATACAGGTGGTGCTATCACAGTCAGACTGCAAGAGGATAATTCACCCTCATAAAATTCATTGCTGTTATATTTCCGATCTATTGTGAGTTGAAGAGGAGAAGTTGCCCTGATGCCTGGTTCAACAAGATTTCTCTTATCAGAAGATTCTGCTGCATCACGCAGGTGAATAATCTTACATGCCTTTTGGTAGAGATTATTAGCCTTCTTAATTTCCAGGTTCAGATCTGTTTCTGATTGCAGCTGATCTGCATCCTGAGTGCCCGTAACACCATCCTGTGTAACAGGATGGGCAGGAGAGATAGCAATCGACCTTGGCCTCATACATGCTCGGTTTGGTAACACTTCTACATTGTGGATAGATGCCTTCAGGCGATGGAAGATTCCAATCTTGGGGTTTATCACTTGAGAACTAAAAGGTTTCTGCAAACCCACTTCAGTTCCTGCTAGGACCTGAGTACTCTGAAAGGAATTGTCCATCAGAACTTCTGGGGGGGGCGGTGGTAGGTTGTCCATATCCAGCTCGTCCTTGCTATCAGGCCAGCTGTTGTTGTTGTTGCCACTGTTGACTGAACTTTCCTTGTCATTTACTACGTCAGATAACTGAAGTAAGCCACTTTTCCTGGGCATCCTGTTATGAGGTGGAATATTAGTGAGACTCTGCTCAGGTCTCCCATCAGCTACTTTGCTAAAGGTATGAATTAACCTTCTGACAGAGTGGCGTTTTGGTGGTTGGTTTGCTAAGATTGTTACAGAACAAGTTGTCTTATTTGGTCTCACAATGCCTTTGTGTGAACCTGACAATCCATTTAATGAATGCCGTCTTACTTCAGCTCTATCCAGCTTGCAATGAGGTCTTGGTAATTCCTTGTTTCCTTGTATTTCAGCCATCATTTTTATTCTATCATCCAAGACCCACTGGCTGTTTTGTAATTCTGTCATTCCACACGTAGTTAACGAAAGGTGTTCAGGCTTTGCAATAACAGGATCAATCAGCGGTTGTTTAACTGTTGCCTGCTGATCTCGATTGTAATTTGTGAACATATAATGAATGGCCTGACTGGGATCAGGTGGGGAAGAGTTTGACCTCTTCCTTCCTCGTGTATCACTTTCCTCCTCTTCATTCTCTTTATCATCATCATCATAATCATCCTCATCCTCATCCTCATCTTCATTATGGTCTCCAAGGTTGGTCGAATTACTGGGGAGACTATCAAATGCACTCCGAATGTTGACTCCAGACCCCCAACTTTCAGATCCAGCACTTCCACGATGCCGGCGATGCCTTTCAGAACCCGTCAGACTCTCATTTTCTCCTCCGATACCACTATCCTCACTATGCAGTGTTGAATCTTCTGAGTTGAACTTCCTCATGGCTGCCCTTTCTACTTGTGCGATCACTTGAAAAAGCCTCTTCTCTGCCATCTGCTTCGTCTGCAGCTTCTTATTTAGCAGTTTATAGACAGAAGAAAAATATTCCACTGCCTCCTCAAGTGTAGTGTCACCTAGTGCCTGGACTGATCCTCCCACTAACTTCATCTTTTCAGTTGACTGTTGGAGTAGTTGCTGTAAAAGATCTGGAGGTGGATCGGTTTGACATGTTGTATTCATTCTAGGGTTAGCTGAGCAAATCATCCCAGAAGGTAAGGTCATGTATTCACCATGCTCCTTCAACATCAGCTCCCCCTCATCAGCCATATCCTCTAGTGCTTGGTTGATCTCCTCAAAGCGCAATACTAAAGCAGACATCATGGGCTGGAGGGACAGCTCTGTCTGGGCAGCCTGATCTAGTAGACCCAAAAGAGTTTCATATTTGGAAATGTTTGGGTTCAGAAAGTTATAGGCTGCCTGGTGAGCTCTCAGCATGTGAGGTGGGAAGTCCACCTTTGTCTGTACATGACAGAACTTCCTGTGATTCTCAAAAGACCTTTTCTTGCCTTTACTTCTTTTTTGCTTTGCTGTCTTTTTAATTCCTTTGGTTTGTTCAACATCGGTGATTATTTCTTGGGGCATCGTGTTTACTTCTGTTTCATCGGTGTCCTGCAGATTGGGTACAGTCTTTGCATCAGAGACCAATGGAAATAATTCAGTCTCTTCGCTATGAAATCCTTCATTCGGAAGTGGAAGTTCATTTTCGGTCACTTCGGCTTTCAAACATGTATTCTCAACTTCTACAGGTCTACAATTATTAACATCCTGTGGTACTTCACCCAGAGAAGCTTTTGGAGATCCTTCTGGCTTTGAAAATAACTTTCCTTTAGATGGAGAACAGCCCATTGTTGCATTCAAAGTGATTTAAGGATTCAAGGAAAAACAAATCAGGCCAAGAAATAAAATTGTAAATCCAGGAGTCTGGCGGTCTTGAAGGCAAAGTTATCTGCAGTCCTTCAGCTTCGACTTTTGTTCTCTTTCCAGTATGTGCTAGATAACTTCTAGTTCCTCAGTCATTTCAGGCATTCTCTCCAAATTTATGCTCAAACAGTGCAGCAAAGATACCTATAACCTGTTGATGAGGTGGCTACTAACGTGGTATGCATAAGACCGTTTGGGAATGCGGATTGGTTCTGCCCTCTCTCTCCCTTAGCCAGCTTGCACAGATGGCTGTGTTAAGTGCATCAATAAAAACACACAGGCCTGTTCACATGTACACACTCGGGCATTTCCATTTAAGACTTTAAGCTCATCAGATTAACCAGAGACAAACTTGTCAGGTGGTGTTTTTAGCCGCACCCACTGGCAAGGTTTGCATGCAAAAGCTCTGTTTACCTGAGACCTTCAATGTCAGGCCACAGGACATTTTAGCAATAGTTGTAGGAAAAAAATTAGATTTAAATAGTTTGCAATACAATGACTTACAAAAATCTATGAAACCACATTCTCTGAGTTCATCATATCTTGAAAAGGTTATATTTATGTATCTTCAAGTATCCTTGTATAGGTTTTTAGGTTGTTTACTGATATTTTGCAGTGTAAGTTCACTTAATACTCAAATGTTTGGTACACAAAAAAGTTTAGCTTTACCCTTCTAAAGCAATCACAATGAATATATAGTAACAGTCAAACTGTTCATCTTTTTTTAATTATTCCAAGCTGGCAACACATGTGCCAAGTGTAAATACATTTAGGACATAAAGAACATGTCAATCCCTTTGTGAAACAACTCTGTGGGACTACGACATTAAAAGACTAGGTTTTGGAAAGCATATTTAGAAGAGTGAGGAGTGGCATTATGTATATCTCCATGTAAACTAGATCTTTGTCCCATCTTGAGTTGGATGGCAAGCTTTTTTGTGTGAGGCTCAGGACCGTTATAGTACATTACAATCACCCATCTTCCCTTCTATTATAAGCATAAGGTGTGTGTTGTGCTAGCTAAGTAGACTAGGCTATTTGTAAGAGTTGGATTGCAAGTGTAATCTTCTTGCTCCCTCCATCTAGAAGCTTCAGGAGGTCACTAGTCCCATCTTGAACATCACCTGTACTTTCATTTTGGAACAATTTTTTAACAGGAGATTTTGATTGGATGTTTAAACAACCGTCTTTCAAAATCTTTGTGTTTTCTTTTAAAAGGTTTTCAGTCTCTGAGTAATGCTGCATAGAAAATAATTAAAAATATAAAAGGGGAAGGGGGCTATTCATGTAGCTTCAAATCACAAATGAAAACCAAGTTAACAAAGCAAAGATTTCACAATGTATATTACTAGATCTGATTGAATTAGTTTGAATCTTTTTGGGGGTTTACAATCAATCCATTTATGACTTTTATGTAATGTGCGGGCCTTTTTTGCATAGTTGGTTGATATTCTTTCTCTATTAAATTAAATTATGATAAATATTAAGAAATTGTTCATTTTTTTTGTATGTGAGCAAATTTATAAAATCTTCAGGGGACCAAAGAATTATTTCTCCCACTGTATATTGTATGTAAACTTTATAACTAAAGCAAAACCATTACAGTAATGAGAGCAGACAATAGTTGCCTCCTGATCAAGCATCAAGGATCATTATTATTGTGATTATTATTCCTCTCTAATCTCTCATGCATACTTTTTAAATATATAGTTCATTAAGAACTGGATTCCCAGACAGGGGTAAGACCAGAAGCACAGAATATCATAAAACCTGAGCCCAGCTCTAATCCCTGACTCACATCCAGGTGTACCACACTAACACGAACCAGGCAAGCTGCTGGTCATTAGAGCAGATGGAGCTTAAGCTGTTGGAGGTAAGTTGTTTGCCATCTCTTTCTTTGGTTTATTAAAGACGTCAGAGCCAGTACATGAAACTCCATCTCAATTCCCTCCATTTAAGCTCAGGTCCTCTACCACAGACAGCAAAACTCCAAACCAGCTTGTCAGGAGTGCTCGCTCTGTGGTGGGTTTTTTCTCAGAGGATGTTGGCCAAATACACATACGTCTTAGGGAATCCCTCTCACACTCTGCATGACACATTAAGAGTATTCGGCAGTTCTGTTGGCTAGATTCACAGTAAATATCCCGATTAGCTTCAGTGCATCTATAATAAATATGTACTAGTTCCAGTGCTTCACTTAAACTGTATGGTACTCATGCAGACCCAGGGTCAGTGTAAAATACAATCCTACCTGTGTGAACAAAGTCTGGCTCCTTTAATCCTGCTCGTTTAATGCAGGTTGATGCAGGTTTATTGATCCTCTTTCCTGCTGTCACACCTGTCACGTCTGAGACTCAGCTATAAACGTAAAGTAACCTTTACATCATGCAAAGACTCTGTAATACTGTAAATGATCAGTAACTTAGGTTAACAATAAACATTAAACCGTACCTCTCTGTCTGTGTGTGCTGCACATTTATAATCAGGATTGCAGTCAGGCTGCACTGAGTGTGGGACTGTTGAAAACAGATTGAAGATGCAAATTTAGCATTATGGCTGATGGTGGTGTAAAACCTCTTCTTACCTTCTACACTGTGTTTTTGTTACTAATTTATGTTTGTTGTTGTTGTTTAACACAGATTTCAGAGGAGCACAGAGAAGCACTGTTGCTTCATCTTTTATACTTTAAAGCAGAACTGGATTGGAAATCAAAAGGTCCTTAAAAGCTTTTTCTGCTCCTGACCCTCAAAGCCAAATTTCACCCCTGAGAGCTCATAGATTACGATTGTTTTAACAGTAACATTATCAGAAACATAGGTGAGCAACAATCCTTAATATCTGCTTTTAATGTAATCATTTATATAGCGATCTTGTATTTGTTAAACATTTTGCAGGATGTATCTGGCAGTTTTTTCATCTACAGAAGTTTCATTTGTCACTGTGGGACTGCTGAGTGACCTGAAGAACTCCTTTCATTCATTTACAGAAATGTTTCAGAGAATCTTTGAAAAATGGCAGACCTTAGGTCAGATTTAATTGATAGAGATATATGCATGCATTGTGAAATTTATGTATCCCAGATAATTGTTTTTCATCTTGTCATGGGAGACCCACCCCTTTCTCTGGAGTTAACTGCAGCCCAAGATAACTAGTGGGGGTATTTACACACTCATGGCCAGTGGAGTAAAATGAGCAACCAAAAAACTGGCAGCCTGCACAGCCACAGATGTGCTAGAAGCTAGAAGAGCTAGAAGTGCTACTCATGGAGAAACTCTTGGAGAAACTTGCTAAACCTATCAGGGGACAGGTACTCCAGCCCCAAAACATGATATAACCCCACATAAAGCCCAGCCACAAAGTGAACCAAGTCGTGAATGGATGGATAGAAGTTAAATGACTACAAACATAAAAACATAAAAGGCACTAGTTCCCACACTGGAGTTCCCTGACATTGGGTTGACTATACTGAGCTTGTATTAACAGTTATAACGGACTACGCTGAGACATTGCTTTGAATTATTGTATGTATATATACATACATATATATGTATGTATACATACATACGTACATATGTATGTATGTATGTATGTATGTATGTATGTATGTACAATATTCAAGCAATGTCTTTACCCTGTGCAGTGTGTGGACACTGTGCACGCAATCACCTCATTCACTGTAGTAAACATGCACCGCTACATAACATGATTGACTCTGTCTCCATGGTTACATCATATCGTACATTATTAGCAATGTAAACAGCTTCCAAAGATACTGCCATAGCTCTCTGCAGCTGTAACACTTTCACTGTTTGCAAATCATTTCATATTTTGATAGTTATGAAAAAAGCATATGTTTATAGGTCATGCCAGGCGGTTGCTTTGGTGGTTGCTGTGGACTAGGGTGGACGGCGCGTTCGATTCCTGTTTCAAAGTGGCGACAGTCTGCTGTAACTCGAATTCAAACTCCACTTTGGTCTTTAAGAAAAGGCCTTTCATAGCTGTTTATGACACACACACACACACACACACACACACACACACACACACACACACACACACAAAGCACTTTGCCTAACCATGACAGGATGCAACTTTACCTTTAAAAGTGTCTGATATAAAATAGAAAAATGAAGCAACCAGAGGTTTAATGATGAAGACTCTGGGGGTCTGTAGTTTACGTTTTACAGTCCTGAATGACTCTTTGCACATTCATATCATTCATTTAGACTGTTACTGTTTAATTTTTTTTACCTTGTTATGTCATGAATAAGGTTTACCTGCTGAAGGTTTGATTGATCAGTTGGACAATACAGTCAAAGACAGAGTTTCAATTTGCAAGAATCCTAGTTGGATTTTTGTTTTCATTCATATTTCTGAACCAAATATTGAATACGACTCTGACAGACTGGATACCTGCCCACAGTGTAGACTACCTTTTATTCAAGGATACCAGGACAGAGCCCTGTAGCTCGGATCACAGTTTCAATTATAAAAGAAAAGGAAACAGGCAAAAAGCAAAATAGAAAAAAATAACATTGTGAGGTCATTTCTTATAAACTGACATTGTACCACTACTATTCCTATTTATAGACATGTACACACACACATGTACACACTAAATATACATATGTATACATATACATACATATATACCTGTACATGTCCATACACATGGAAGGTCTATTATGCATGAAGTGGTGACTGTGGATGTTCACAGTGTCCAGTGACTTATGACATCGCGATTGAGGAGATTGTCAGTTGCTCAGTATGCTAAGGTCACCATGTCTATTTGGGTATAATTAATATCCAAAAAGCACTAAAAGTTATACCAGAATTTGACTAACAGAATTATTAACTGCATGTTTTTCTTCCAATTTTCTCACATAATTTGAAAAATTAGACTTTGTAAATAAGTGAAAATTTCATATTGTTGCAGTCCTAATAGCTCCTGCTTTGAAACATTGAACTTTAAAATTTACCTCATGAAAGATAATCATTCACAGTGGCACACTGTCAGTATAATTCTGACTTTAATATCACTGTTTTAATCTGAATCTTTCTCAAATATGCTGTGAATAAATACTGTTGCAACTCACTGTGGGAAAGCTGTGTTATTAAAATGAATCTGTCACATGTGAGGACGAGGACACAAACGGAGGACACGCAGATGCTGTCACGGTCGGACGGTCCTCCCTGGACGACCTGCTTTTTGTGTGGTTTGTGTGTTTTTTTTCTCTCCGCTTTCTCTTCGTCCTCCGCTGGTGGCTATATTTTGAAAGTCCACACTTCCGGGAGACTGAGCGCGTAATGGCCTCTGACCCGGAAGCACCTCCGCTCGGCAGCCGACACACC